GAGAGAGAGAGAGAGAGAGAGAGAGAGAGAGAGAGAGAGAGAGAGAGAGAGAGAGAGAGAGAGAGAGAGAGAGAGAGAGAGGAAGAGCACGCGAGTGGGGGAGTGAAAGAGAGAGAGAGAGTGTGTGTGTGAGAGAGAGTGTGTGTGAGAGAGAGTGTGTGTGAGAGAGAGTGTGTGTGTGTTTCTAGAGAGAAGAGAGCGGGAGAAAGAGAAAGAGAGCACGGTGGGGGGGGGAGACCACACCGCAATGAAGTCACTGCGGGAGCAATAATTCGGTTAAAGGCAATTACGCTAACGAGGGGACGCGGGTAACACGTGCGAACGTCAAGTGTGCTGCTACCGGACAGGCGGCGGGGCGGGGGGAACAGACGCGACTGCATGTCGGCCCCGTACGTACCACTTGTTCCACTTCACTCACAGGCACCTTCAGACAAACCACGGTCTGGCCACGTAGCGGGCGGAGCGATTCTACACGCACCCCTAGACCCGGAACAGATAGAGAAACTGATAAGATCCTCCGAGGAGATTACCCGCCCACCTCTTCATCTTAACGCCTGCCGATGTTACTAGCGGAGAAAAAACTGTCGATGTTTGCGAGAATATCGGTGGAGGAAGAGGAACCTACGCCACCTCGAGGAATTCATGGCGAGATGGAACAGTATGGTTTAGCTGTAAAGTGTAGATGTGAGGAGCAATGGAGAAGAGGTTTAGCTGTGCCGAGGCGCATAGGCAGGCGAGTGAGTGCGCGGACACGCCGCTTGTATTTTGATAACCCCGGAGACTCGCCGCAAATACGACAAACAGTGAAATCCGCTGTAAGGGACAACAACGTTGTGTGTGCTGTCAGGATTCAGTTCATCGGAGTCTCTCTCTCTCTCTCTCTCTCTCTCTCTCTCTCTCTCTCTCTCTCCACCCTTCTCTCTCTTCCCTCCGCCTTCTTTCACTCGTCCACCCTTCTCTCTTTTCCGCCCCCTTCTTTCACACTTCGGCTCTTCTCTCTCTTTCTCTCTCGTGCTTGCGTGCGCTCTCTTCCCCTTTCTCTCTCTCTCTCTCGCTATTCTCTCTTTCTGCGCCCGTTGTCCCTTGCTCGTGTGTTTTTCTCTCTCACCCTCCTCCCTGTTGCCCTCTCTCTAGGAGCTGACGTAGAATGCACAGAGGTTCTTACTACACCTACAGGCTACACTCTGACGCACATCCGCGTGTCAACCCCAAATGTGTGTGTGTGTGTGTGTGTGTGTGTGTGTGTGTGTGTGTGTGTGTGTGTGTGTGTGTGTGACACTGTGTGTGTGTGTGTGTGTGTGTGTGTCCATGGACGAGAGTAAACGTAGGTGAACCCGACCTAGCCACACTTCCTCGCACATAATTATGCAGTCGCTTGCTTGCTTGCTGACCTTCGTCATCGCTATTCGTACACTAAACAGCCCGGAATCACATTAACATCGGGCAGGTTCAGTCTACAGATCACCCGCCATAACCAACGGACTTAACACCGTTCACTTGTTATTAGATAGAGACGGACAGTCAGGCGGATGGACAGACGGATCAATAAACGGAGGAACAGACAAACAAACGGACGGATAGACAGATGGACGGACACGCACCGCCCTTATTTCCTACTGAACTCAATATGTGAGCATATCAAGTTTAACACGTTCTCTGTAACGTTCAAGGCTCTAGCTATGTGGGCATGCGTAAATCCCCCGCTGCCGGCACCCGCAGTAGAGCCGTGAAAACGGTTAAAAGCACTCGAGATATTGTTCGCACCCGACACGTGGGTCGAGATGCAGAAAGGTGTCAAGTGCTTGCGTATTTACATGTATACACCTTTGTTAAAACGCTGCGAAATAGAAAGGCAACGAAGTGTCCGGACGGCGACTCATAATAGATCCATTACGCGTAAACGGGCGCCTAAATATATTTCAACACAATAGCACGGCTCCGCTCGCGCAGCGGCAACACGGGTGACGAGAACTTTCTACATCACCTCACCCTATTCTGCTACGTTACGCCAACAAGACTGTGAGTCTAGACACTAGAACTGCCCGCAGCCATAAAAACCTGCCTGCTTTGTAAACACGTAGAATGCAGATTCAAATACCTGCAGTTGGCGATTGTGCTCAGGTGCGAGCAAATTCAATTATATGTTTACATAAAATGTGGCTCTATCTTCTACCTATTAAATTACTTCACGCTTAAATTATTCCAAACGACACGCTGTCTCTCTCTTCCTGTCATGCGCACTCTCTCCCCTCTCTCTCTCACACACACACACACACACTCTCCCCTTCTCTCAATTCCTATCTTCTTTCTGACCTGCTCTCTTCTCCCTTCTCCCCCTCTCACTCTTCTCTCCCCCTTTTCCTCTTTTATCACCTCTCTCGTATTTGACTGGAAAGCTTTACTTACATAGTCGGTGCTCGGTGGGAATCCATCCTCCTGAAACCCGTTCTTCTTCTTTGGTCTCCTGCCTAAAATTTAAATGAAGACAAGCGTGTTAAAACCAATTTTGCAATCGTTTCATGTGCATGTAACTGTCAAATATTAATATCGACAGGCATAACGCATAACGCATAATGTATATATATAT